ACCCGTGTCCCTGGCGAAGGCCTGCAGGCCCCCCATGGGTGCTTGATCTGCCTGCCCCCAGCGCACCACGTGGCCATAGCAGTCATCTTCCTGTGCGACCAGGGCTACTCTTCCCCACAGCTGAGGGCATCCTCCTTGTCACAGCTCAGGGCCACTTTATCACGTGGCAGTCCCTACCATGGCCCTCCAGTCACTCTGCCCCCAAACTGTCCTTACCCTCCTGGACTGGCTTGGTCAGTCCTTCTCCCCTGCAAAAAGTTAGACCCAGAAGGGCAGAAGGACTTCTGTTCTGTCCATGGCCCACGCCCAGCATATAGGAAATGTTTCCAAGCATTTCTGAATCACTCGGACATATCCAGTATGTGCCAGGACTGTGCTGGGCGCTTGCTGGCCAAGTGGTTTCATGTGTTGCTCAAGTCTTGTCGATCTATTACATTCCTTTAGAAAAAAATAGTTCATATTCTTAGATTCATTCAAGTAGCTAAAAGAATAGGCTGGGCACAGTGGCTCATGCCTGTAATCTGAGCACTTAGGGAGGCTGAGGCGAGAGGGTGACTTGCGCCCAGGAGTTTGAGACTAGCATGGGAAATAGAAAGAAATCTTGTCTATACAAAAAAATCAAATTATTAGGCAGGTGAGGGATGTGCACTAGTAGTCCCAACTATTCAGGAGGCCGAGGCGGGAGGATCACCTCAGCCAAGGAGGTTGAGGCTGCAATTTGCCGTGAGCATGTCACTGCACTCCAGCCTGGGCCACAGGGTGAGACTCCGACTCAAATAAATAAATAAGTAGCTGAATCCTTCTCAGTATTTTCAAGAGGCCAATTCACTTACAAGTAAATTGCAAAATCTGGATTTTGTCTATATGTAGGACCCAAGCTTCAGCCTAAATGAAAATGAATGTTCATGTCACTGTGAACAAGTCACCCTTCCCAAGAATGACTGAAACGAAAGCTGTATCCATGGGCACGGACAGCAGCTGGGACTCCTCGTTGCTGCGGGTGTGCGTTCAGGGAGCTGCTCTGAAGAGCTGTCGGGCAGCGTCTCACAGGGGGACCATGATCCAGGCATTCCCACCTGCAGAGACCCCGGAAGCGCACCTGCGCTCACCAAGCAACATGGGCAGGACACCTAAGGCAGCTAGTCACAACAGCCGAGAAATGGATGCCACTCAAATGGCCATCGACAAGATTGATAAATGGGGCCAGGGTCGGTGGCTCAGCCTGTCGCCCGGCACTTTGGGAGGCCATGGCAAGTGGACTGTCCGAGCCCACGGGCTTGAGACCAACCCAGGCAACTTGGCGAGACCTCATCTCTACAACAAATAAAAAATTAGCCGGGCAAGGTAGCATGCGCTTGTAGTTCTGGCTACTTGGAAGACTGAGGTGGAAGGATCGCCGGAATCCAGCAGGTCAACGCTGGGGGTGGCCATGAGTGTGCCACTGCACTCCAGTCTGGGTGACAGAGACTCCAACTCAAAAAAAAATAGATGAGTGGAGGCACATACACCCAAAGGGAGGCCACAGAGTGGCAAGGGTCAACGAGTCACACACAGCACAAGGGAGCTTATGAACAAATGCCAAATGGAAAGCCAGTCACAAAGACTGCATATATGTGACACTTCAATTACAAGCTGGCGGGCAGGGATGGCGGGGAGAGAAAGGCCGGTATCCTCTGGCAGGGCATGCTGCCTCTCAGGGCAGATCCCTGGAGTACAAGGCAGTGGCCTGCAGGACGTGGCCTCAACTGGCCACGGCAGCCACACTCTTTTGAAGCCTCATGTGTGATATCTTGTGAATTTCCTATCTTCACCCATGCACACTGACCAGAAATATTCCTCTCAAAAAATACTCAAGAAAACATAATATGCAAGGAAAATGGGCCGGGCTGTCCTGCTGCTGCGGGCCTTTCAGGGACACCGTCTCGGCTTCAGTTGTAAAATAAACGGTGGAAGAGGGATTTGTGTTGGCTGGAGCCTGGGTCCCGTCCCAGTGCCTCACGCACTGGCAGTGGGACCCTGGGCGAGTTCCCCGCACACCCTGCCCCTGTGCCCTCTCATTCACGGAACAAAGAGATGCCTGCCTGCATGGTGACCGGGTGTACGCTGAGATGCGGCAAGCCGGGTCCTCACAGGCCAGCCTCCCCCTTCCCTGCCCTGGGCCAGCACTGGGGTGGAACAAGAGTCAGCAAGCAGTTTGCTGCAATATATATATTTTAATTCAAAGTGAATCGACAGTAATACACCATAAATTCTTATTTTGACACTCACCAAAATAGTCACCTGGAAAACCCGCTTTTTGTGACAAAGTACAGAAGGCTTGGTCACATTTAAATCACTGAGAACTAGAGAGAGAAACTATCGCAAACCCTAATAGACATTACATCCATACAAATGTCCCAGTCTTATTGTAATATTGCACAGTGCAGTTGCTACCTGGCAAACTAGTGTAGCAGAAGTAAAAGCCAAACAAACCAATCCAAGAAAGAAAGCCACGAGTCTAAAATCATTAAACAGTCAATAGTTCAAACTCAGTCATCAAATCATAGCGGTGGGTTCGTTAAAACAAATTCTCCTACACGCCGCAGTGTATGATTGAACTTTTACTTCACACAAACCAAGTTTAAAATTAGCAGTAGAGATTTTTTTAATGAAAACATTTTGCTAATACAATAACATATTTAATTAAACACCCCGAAGGAGAAAACAACAACTAAATATCAGGATATCTGATTTAAAATCATCTGCAAATTAAAACAGTATGCAAATATGCACCTTGGGAACCATGCAGTGTTTTATTTAAGAAAGCATTAAAACCAAAGAAGACCGGTTAGAAAAATGGTTTCACAAAGGTAAAAATCCAGTTGCTTTTGTCAATATGCTGAATTTGGAATTTAGAATCATGAAATTTATTTTTAAAAAACACATTAAAAAGCCCATGATTGTAACTGACGAAGAGCAGTGTACTTCACTGGGATATGCCTTTCTCAAGCATGGTGTAGTGAGAATGTGGACGTTTACCGTTTGAAGTCAATCGGGCAAGACTAAGTCTTGGAAGACAGAGGCAGAAAATACTACATTTCAGGGCAGTCTACACGGCCCCGAAAAGAAAACTGCGCCGGTTTTGTGCCTGTTGTGATCCCACCAATTCTTTGCACCTGGTGTTTCTGAACCAGCCGTCACCGGCACTGACACTTTTCCAAGCCATGAGCAGACAGCAGTCCTCTGCTGGAGCAGATAAATAAAAGTGGGAGACTGCGAGGGCAGCAAACTTACTTAAATAGGGACTCCATAAATTTGTCCTCTGTAAATAATCTTTAAATTAGTCTTAGGCTACTCCTTTTTTATGTGTATCATATATACATATATATTTCTATTTATATAAAATGCATAGAATCAATGACTAAAAACACTGAAACCTGTGGGGAAAATTAAGTCCTTCATCTTCAGTGTGACGAAAAACGTACTGCTGGTTTTCATCTTATGATCTAATACTGTTATTTTTAAAATCAAATTCAGGCACATTTATTTCATTGGTGATTATTAAATAAAACACTGCTTGGGCTAATGGACTAAAGAAATGCTTATTCGCTATTAGCTTACTGTCAACGCGTGAGAGCTGAATTGGCGGTACACAAGTCACTCGGTCAAGGAACACCGTAAGTCCAAAACATTTGGAGAGTTTTTGCACGCAAATGCTTGGTACTGCTTATTCCAGTAAATGCTGTAAGATTATATTCCAGATTTTTAAGGAAAAAGAGTTAAGTCAAGCCTGCAAGATACGGCTTTCTCAAGTGTCTACTATGCCAGTATGAAAATAAAAAATTAAGTTACACTGATACATCAAGGTTTTTATATGCAGTGATGAGCACAAACATGAATAGAGATAAAATACTGATGCAAATAACACACCCCAAAATAACATAGGCAATTATTTTCCATCATTTACAATACAGTAGTTACAATGACACTCCAAACAGAAAAGCAAAGTATAAAATCAAAACCCCAACTTCTATTTCATGTAATTAGACTTATACAGAAATTAGAAGGCTAAATAACAACTAGTTAATCACCTAAGTTCACAGCTATCTGAAGTGGCAATCATTATATAGCAGCTTATCTATGATACATTCAAGATAAATGATACAATGTATTACTTGCCTGTAAGCTAAAACACGGCCTCAGTTTAATACCTTTCCTTAAATTCCACTCTACACTACCATATACTTGAGGTCTATGCAAAAAGTAGCTACCTTTTATATAGAAAATGGATGATTAAGTCTTTGGTGCTGTAAAAGCAACTTCATTTAAACATCACCACCACCACCCAAAAAACAAGAAGAAAAGAAAAAGAGAAGAGAAACCAAGACACACTTCCTAGGAAGAAAAGCATGTGACTTCTGTCCCTGACGGAATGTATTAAATAAGCAAACATCACCAACAAGCAAAACAAGTACTGCAATGTAAAAATACTTAAAAAAAAACCAAACTCTCTCACATGCATAAGTGAAAAATTGCACACAAAGAACTCACATCTGTTCAAGCTTCAATAGTAAATATTCTGCTACTATTTATTGAATACTGCACGGTTAGCCCAAGCTGAGAGAAAACCACATCAGGAGTCAATGAGCCTTCTGCATTTTCTTTCATTATCTACCCAAAGTCATGCCTACTCACCTCTATACCTTTTACTAAGTCCAGTTAGACAGCAAACACTCTCAAAATAAACTCAGGCTGTGTTGCAGCTTCACTGAGTATACAAAACGCCGTGCTGTGCCAGTTACCCACGATCCGTTAGACACAGAATCAACTGCCTGTAAGCACTACTAACGCTTGCTTTTCTGGAAGCGAGGTCATTCTAAAAACCCGACAGCAGAGCTCAGCTACAGCACACATGCTGCCCTCTACGTAATAAGGAAGAAAAGCTACTACCTGGAATCATACCTCACGCAACCAAAAATGCGCGTCACTCTGTCCAAAGAAAACTCAAGAGTAGGTCTGGGTTTAAGTGCTGCCGTCCTCGACATTTATAGATAGGTAATGACGTTAACAACCTCAAATATTAAGGCACTATGTGTGGGAACGGTTTACGATGCAGCTGAGATTATTAGAACAACATGAAGAGCAAAGTCTAGGCGACGTCTTGCCCATGCAGAAGACACATGCAAATGCAAGAACCACAACTAGCTCCTGCGGTGAGCGACCAACGCGTACACACGAGACACAGAGAGCACGACTCACTCAGTGCTGACGCTGACACACGAGCATCCGCGGCTCTGGGTCTGCACACAGAATGGCTTCCCGACGTGGACGTGTCTTGCACTAGTTAGAAGGCAATTGATAAAAACAGCAGGAGCAAACTGGCCTCTGCTCCCGAAAGTCACCTGTCTAGAGTTACTACATAAGAAGATAACATGACCAAAGACAAGGTATACCAAATGTGCAAAACACATCAAAAGTGAGTTTTTTAAAGCTCAGAGTTGTTTAAATTGCACCCAAGTCTACATGATTCAAAAATAATTTTCTTGTGCCATGGCTAATATCATGAAATGCCATGTCTTCATTCGAAGCCGGCGCGTGTCCCGCGGCGCCTCCTCGAGACAGGGCCTCCGTGAGTCACATGTACGGATACTGGCTGAGCTTGGTGGGGCTCAGGGGGAATCCTGTGTACGCGGGCGACGCCGTGATGTACGAGTGCGGGGGGAAGAGGGGCTTGAACTGAGTCTGGTGCAGGGTCGGGGAGGGCAGCAGCCGGGGGTTCAGGCCCACCGGGACCTGGTGGACCACGCCGCCGGGGTGGGAGAGGCCGTAGGTCGCGTGTTGCAGCACGGGTCTTGAGGTGCACGGAGAGCCCAGGAGGTGGGTTACGGGTGCAGCGCCCCCAAGGGCAGCCGACGATGGGAACGGGAGCAGTGCCGGCTGTCCCCCGAGGTGTGCACTGCCTGCCAGGTGGGCGTGCACGGCCGTGGGGTTGGGGCTTCCGTGAGAGAGCGTGAACGGGTGACTGGTGACGCCAGTGGGGATGTAGGCCTGCTGTCTCCGGTGCCCGAAGTTCCCGTTCCACTCCTGATGCCCAGATCCGAAGTGTTGCACCTGTCCACGGGCAGCAAGGGACCGCATGACACATTTAATGAGACACAAGGAAAGCAAGGACGGGACATGCCATGGGTCCTCTGTGCCTGGATCTCTCAGAACTGGCTTATGCCAAGAGTAGGGAGAGGAGAGCACAAACACGGGCTTTATATATGTCACTATCAGCATCTTATCACCCCCATGAACCACTACGATATATAAACGCTGCCATGTGGCTGTCACTACCCAACCACTAACAGCTACCATCTGTGGGGCTCCTATTACACACAAAGCTGACCTCTGACACACACACAGTATGTGCTCCCAAAACCACCCACCCCATGGTACAACTATTATTCCCATTAACTATGGTCCAGATCAGGTCTGTAGGAGAGACAAAGTTAATGCACAGAGTTATGTGGCACAGCCAGGATGTGAACCCAAGCTGGACTCCAGCACCTGTACCCTCTCTCTCCCCAAGTGAAACACACCTGCCAGGCCATGCTGGATGGGTGGGAAGGACTCAGGATGGTGAGACAGTCACCACCACCAACATGCGAGAAACACAGTCATCACTCCACCAGTGCTTATTCTGATTTCAAGGATCGGAGACCACACACACACACGAAACTATTGTCTGTGGGAGTTTAAGGACTTAATCTCTGTGAGGGGGACTACAGGTTCTATGGACAATTTACTCAATATCCCACTGTTATTAAGTTGGTGACTCTTTAGTGGCTTGAGATAATGAGAGGGAAAATTTTATTACAATTACATACAGTTTCAGAATCTCTTTCCCCCAAGTGAAAACACCCACTACATTTGAATCCCAAAGACTCTTACAAACTCACAAGTCAACACACCTGGCTGAAGGTCAAGTGCTGCTGCTGGAATGCTGATGTCGGTTTCTGCTGACGATTACTCCCTGTGGAAGGCTGGGTTAACCTCGCAGGGGCCGATCGTCCTTTGATTAATGGCTGGCATAGAGAATCTGGAACGAGCAAAACAAAGGAGGGTTGGTGTTTTTTCCATCTCTGTAAGAGTTAAAAAAATCTTTAGATGTTTACACAAGAGCAATTTTAGAACCATAGAATTAAGTAAGAAGGACGGGTCATGGTTTGCAAGCACTGGATAACAGCAGAACAGATTTCCTCTACACAACAGAATGCACAGGGTCAAGTCACAACGCAGAGATGACTTCTGGCAGTCCTGTGTTCTGAGGTTCCTACATGAAGACCTTTCGAGGATGAGCAGGGACACAGGAGGACTCAGTTTACCTGTGTTTGCCATCTGCTCATCGGCATTTAATCCACTTTCGAGTTCTCCTGGCGGCACCACAACAGCACACACAGCTGGCTTGGGTTCCGTGTCAGAGATCGGCAGTCCCGTGTCAGGATGTGTGTCTTCCACAAAGCTGCTCTCTGCAAACGGACTATCCTGCCCTGAAGAGTCGGACGTGGGAGAGCCATCCACGGTGTCACAGCCGCTCTCCTGCTCTTCGTCGGACATGCTACAAGAGACATTTCCACGAGTGACCCTTTGTCCAACATCAAATCTGATGTTAAGCATGTCCAGGCTCCAGCAAACTGATGAGAACCTTATTTGGTTATTTTGCACACATCACACCTCCTTCGTCGTCGAACCGCTTGTCTTCCATAAACTTTCTCGACCCTCTGGCTAATTGTCTGCAGAGACCGCCAGCCCTAACTCTGCCCCATTGCAGGAACATCCTTCTAGCAGTCAGCTTTTCTCCTTGCCCTCCCGACGTGACACTTAGTGGCAGTTCAAAAAAGCTCCTCCTTACAAACGCCAGATAATTCCATCAAGACGGGACAAAACAGCACGACCCTGGGTCACTTAAATGGAATCAGCAAGTGTGTGTGCACGTGGCTTGGCGTTTCAGATTAAACTCTGAGGTCAGAACGTGCGCTGTCATGGTCGCATGTATCCCTTCCACTAGTAACTCCCTGGGAGGTCTCCTCCGCCGGGGCCTCTCTTGCTGACACTCGTGGACCCCGACAACCTTACTCTCCTTGGGATTTCAACTACATTTACTGTCTGTTTGAATCACTCATTTCATACTTAGCAATTTGCAGCAGCCACAGAAGGTACCAAAAAAATGTACACAAATTTTAAGAGAGACTCGCCATAATCAGAAGTGTCTAGACGCTGATGACAACCACTCTGAGCACCTCTTGTAACTGCAATACGACTATTTTAACAGTTTTTTCTTGCTTAAAACATGCATACGCTTTTGTATGCCCTCTGTATTTGAGGTCTAAACACGTTCTCTAGGTGACTCTGTATGTATGCACTTATCAGCTTCCAAGTCACACTGTGAGCAACTTGCCAGAAGAGGCTGTGTCAACACGTCCCTACATCTCCCACAAGGCTTTGTCTGTGAACTTACTACCATGTTGCCTGGCTATGGGGAAAGAGAAGACAAATGTGTAAGTTAAGACTTAAAATTTTTTCAAACATTGTTGCCACTAAAAAAATGTCTTACCTTTTTTTTTTGAGTCAGAGTCTTACTCTGTCACCCAGGCTGGAGTGCAGTGGCACGCTCACGGCTATCCCAGCATCAACCTACTGGGCTCTGGCAATCCTTCTGCCTCAGCCTTCTGAATAGAGGGAACTATAAGGCGTGCGCTATCATGCCTGGCTAATTTTTGGATTTATTGTAGAGATGAGGTCTTGCCAAGTTGCCTGGGCAGTTCTTGAACCTGTGGGCTCAGGCAATCCCCTCACCTCAGCCTCCCAAAGTGCTGGGATTACAGGCTTGGGCCACCGTGCCCGGCCTCTTCCCTTTTTTTTTAAGAGACAGGATCTCAGTCTGCAGATCATGGCTCACTGCAACCTCCGGCTCCTGGGCTCAGATGATCCTCCGCCACAGTCTCACAAGTGGTTGGGGCTACAAGTGTGCACAACTGTGCTACCTTTTTGTGTGTGTGTTAAGAGATGGGGGTCTACTGTGTTGCCTAGGTTGGTCTCAAACTCCTGAGTTCAAGTGATCCTCCTGCCTCAGCCTCCCAAAGTGCTGGGATTACAGGTGAGAGTCACCGCACCCAGCCTGTGGCCTATCTCCTAATGTGTTAGAGTACATCGTGCTGGTTAGGAAAAGTTAACTAGTCTAGTAGTTTTAGTAGCCGTGCATGTCCTGGAAAAAAGGAAGTCTAGGGTAGGAAATATGGATGAAACCTTGCAAGTCAGACACCAATGGGGATAAAAGCCATCATGGATACTCTATAGACAGTGGGCCAGCCAGGACTTCATTACATAAAAGATTCCTTTTTTATTTTGCAAAGTATATGTTTTTATCCAAATTTAAGCTACAATAGTAGTCCATGTAGCTAAAATTGAGAATGTAGCTTTTTTACTCTTTCAAAAATAGACAGCTCTTTAAAATTCACTTATTAGAACCTCCATTTTTCATTTAAAGCTATTCTATCACAATAAGGAAAATGACAACTAAAAACCTGAGCTTATAAAAACTGATCTAGTTCAAAAATTGCTTTCAAGAGATAAGTCACTATAGGAAACAGGCAAAGACTAACTCATTTAAACGACAACAATATAAATAAATTCCAGGTTTTTCAGTGGAGGTAACAGCCGTCAGACGCAGTGTTCCCTTTACCTGTTGGGTCTCTTGCAGGGGGCAGGGCTGGACTGGCCTGACGAGCTGGTGCTCAGGGTGCTGTCAGGGCTGCTGAGCGAGCACATGCGGTCAATGTTCAGCGTGCTCTGGCAAGCTTCACAGTCGAGGCTGCCCTTACATCTATGAAGGAGAAAGGAGAACAAGTCGGCGCTGAGGAGGCACGCCCATGGAGTCCAACAGACCCCTTTGATCAGGTCTGAAACTGCTGGGAACGGCCCGCAGGCACAAAAAGCTAAGGGGTGATGCCACCACCACGGTGTGAGGTATCGTTCAGAAGGGTCCTCTGCTGGGTGGCCTGAGGGTTAATCCTGAGGACACTCACGGGTGAGGCACCGCCACCCCAAAGGATGCCACGCTAGGCACTTACTCTCGCAGCGAGTGTCTCTGTGCCGCCTCCTCCTCATCCGTGTCGCTGCTGATGGTGATTACGCTCACTGCAGGGCTCGGCGAGTCAGCGATGACAATGGCTTGCCGCTGTCTGTCCTGCCTGACGGGAGCGTCACAGCAGTCCCTTGCGTCGCCTTCTGAGGTGTGACTGTCCTGAGCTTCCCCACAACTCACTTCCTCGACGTCCTTCCCACGTACCATCTTTGGAGAGATGAAGGCTGCATGCGGGACGCTGGTGTTCTGCAGTGAATGACTCCTGCAGCCAAAGGAAGGATGCAATATTTCCATAAGCAAACGCACCTGCCACCCTTGGCTAAGACAGCCTGTTGGGCTGGATAACGCGAACCTTTACTTGTTCAAGTTCATGTACATGACACACTAACAGACAGATCGTGAGTTTTTGTAAAATGTAAAATGTCATTTCTAGAAACGTCAGTGTGGATTGCAGTTACAAACATTTTATGGTCAGTTTCAGTAGAGGTGATATCTGAATGTCTACAATTGCTACATTATGGGCAGATTATCAATCAAAGGGCAATAAAGACAACGTTACCCATGGAAAGCATTTATTTCCTCTCTTCCTGGCTCCCATTCTACTGGTTTTACCAATACACCTCTGAGAAACTGAGATAGGAGCTGGCTTAGTGTTTGCGACAGGCCGCCAAAGAGGCTGCTTTTACTACAGCAGCATGACCCTTCTGTGAGCATGCAAACTCCATTCTGAAGATCAATGTTCAAGATGTAGGTCAAGGCACCACACTGACCTGTTCTGGCACAGCTGGCTCTTCCTGGTGGCAGCAGGCTGAGGCCACATGACGTGGGCGATGCCCACGCTAATTGGCTGAGGGGCCGATAGCGTTATCTGACTGGTCCGAAGAGGCTGCGGCATCACTGAGCTATAGTGGCTGCTGCAAGAAATCATCTTCCTGGGGAGAAATCCAGAACAAGTAAGTCTTCCCTGGCGAGGTCTACTCGGCAAACTGCTCATTAAGCACTCTCGTCGTTAACTCACCCCCAGTCTCCCAGCCTCTGGGAGCCAGCAACACCCTCGGAAGTCAGTGCGGTTGTGGCAGGAACCACACGTGCCACCTGTTGCCAGGCGGGTACTAGCATCTGCTGTCTTCTCCCAGACCACGTCTGCTGCGTCAAACAAAACGAAAACCAAGTTACAAGGAATTCAACTTTCCTGTGTCTTAAGCTCAGAGATCAGAGATGCATGGAAGTAGCTGACCACCCTGGAGGGGGCTGAACCCACCCAGGCCCTCTCCATCACTCCCAACAGCCCAGGCCAATGCCCAGAAGGCAACACACAGAGAACAGTCGCCAACCCACCTGAGACAGCACTCCAGGTCGGATCTGCAGGGGCTGCACTGCGGGGGCCTGAGTCACCAGGGGAAGTGCACTGTCCACCCTGATGGAGTAGCTGGTGGGCTTGCCATGGGCTGCAGGAATACCTGGGAGGTGGAACAGTGTCCAGGTAAGAGGAAAACATCTTCCCAATTTAACTTGCACCAGCATTTTAAACATAAAGAACTGCTCACATTCTGACTGGGATTATGAAACCATTCCCCACTACAAAGCAACCTGTTAGCAATGCACGGTGCTGCCTGTCTACTGGATGACACATCATTCCAAACATGTTTCAAAGTGACTCCTTCTGTCTTCGAATGCAAGCTGCAAAGTGGAACCACTTTATTTTCTTGCTACCTCTCGCTTCCTTTTGAAGTTTGCTATCGAAGTTTTCTTTTCTTTTTCAAATAGTTCTACACTTTGACAAAGAAGTGAAAGGTGAAGCTGGCTCAGTCTGCTAACAACCTGGCAGGTAAGTGTTCTTTTCATACAGATGTTTAGCTACGTGTACCATTTTCTTCTTTAAAACTGTGAAAGGATCTCACACTTGTCACCAAAAGGAAAACATGTCACAACGTCATCACTCAATGGACACGAAGGTTCACATGATGGACAGGGATGGCACACTCGTCGACCTCCCAAGGCAAAGCAAAACTCGCCTCTCTTGCCTAACTTGACATAGTGGACCCCGGCTGTGTGGCTTCGCTGACTAGTGATCCCAGGTCAGGCCTGCCGCAACACCAGAACAGACGGGCTGCCGTGTGCTTTCCTCTGGGAAAGCCAGAAAGCACAGCTGGCGGTCACGCTGATGCTGCAAACGTCAGCATTTCTGCTTCACATGGTGCAAAGCACCTTGTGAATACGTGTATTAGAATACTGAACTTAGAAACAGCAAAGTAGGGTGAAATCCCAATTAGAGCTTGGACGAACAAGATTTTAGGGACATGCCAAAGATCAGAAAGCACATTAACCAAAATAAATTCACTGCTTCACAATTCTGGTCTATTGTAGCAGTTACTTTCAATATGGAGTGGCAGATTATTCAACTAGAATATCATCAGTTTTAGCATGAAAGTAATGTTGGGTGTTTCTCTTCAATCACAAGAGAAAAATACTACACCATTTTCCTTTTCCTATTGAAAAACAACTTTCACATTTTTATTGCACAAATACATTATAAGTGTTAATCCTAAAGAAAATGTTAATTTTGTATTGTTTTCTTCATAGAGACATTTCTCTTACGGCCAGGGTATTCTTCTACTGTGTTCTGCCCAAAGAACCAGGTATGAATTAAGCCTAATTAAAATCCACAGATTTTTTTAAAAACTGATCTGGGTGGGAGCAGTGGCTCATGTCTGTAACTCCAGCACGTGGGGAGGTACAGATGGAAGGACTGCCTGAGCCCAGGAGTTTGAGATCAGCCTAGGCAACATGGTAAGACCTCATACCTCCAAAAAATAAATCAAAAAATTAGCTAGGCATGGTGGCACCTGCCTGTGGTCCCAGCTACTCAGGACATTGAGACCGAAGGACTGCCTGAACCCAGAAGGTGGAGGCTGGGTTAGCCGTGATGTGCCACTGCCCTCCAGCCTGGGGGACAGAGTAGGACTCCAACTCAAAAAAGCAAAAAACAAAAAAACTGATCTTCTTACCCCTTTCCAAAAAGCATGTCTTGATCAGCAAATTCTCCAAGAAATGAAAGATGATCACACCCAGGTAGTCCAGAAATACTGCAGCAAGAGACAATCTCTTCAAGAAAAAAGCAGGCCGGGCTCAGTGGCTCAGCCTGTAATTCCAGCACTTTGGGAGGCCAAGGTGAGTGGATTGCCTGAGCCCGCGGTTCGAGACCCGCCTGGGCAACTTGGCGAGACCTCATCTCTACAATAAGTCAAAAATTAGCCAGGCGTGGTAGCAAGCCCCTGTAGTTCCAGCTACTTGGAAGGCTGAGGTGGAAGGATCTCTGGAGCCCAGCAGGTTGACGCTGGGGTTACCGTGAGTGTGCCATTGCACTCCAGCCTGGCGACAGAGTGAGACTCCAACTCCAAGGGGAAAAAAAAAGAAAAAAGCAGAATTCACTTTGACAGGGAAGAAAACACAGAGCAAATTCTCAAATCCAAGCAAAAACCTCACTGTCCTTAGATTCTTTCTATAAGCAATGCCTGAAGATGAAAAGAATTCACCTATGTATTCTCTCCTCAGATTCAATGTTTGATCAACTTCAACAGTGAGTTAAGATCCCAATTTTTTACAGTTATTAGTTGAAGCTTTATCTGAGTCCGATTCTATTTGCTCTTAATACATGGAGAAGCCAGCACACAAGCTTCTGAGAAGTGCTTTAGCGTAACAGATTTTGCTGGAATGTATCTGGCTCTAAAACAGTAGCTGTCACCAGGGGGATGAAGAACCAGCTTTTCAGGTTGCTAAATAGTTTAAAAGGCTTGTTTAATATATCAAGCTTGGCTAAGTCTTCTGTACTAATTTTATTAAAAAAAAATAAACACAGTCTTATGGACATGGTATTTATATACTTATACCTACATATTATGTTATCTAAAATACATGAAATGCATGTATTTCCTAAACACTGTAGCTCCAAAGTAAAATAAAAATTTTAAGTGAAAGGGATAGCAAATTTATTTTAAAATACAGGCCATGGTGGGACAATAGTTACCACCCAACAGTTGCCTGATAATTATTTTTAAATGTTTCTTATAAATGGATTCACATGGGACGACAGGGAGGGGTAGGAAGCCCAAAGTTGAAATGTTCAAGGTGCTAAGATTGCTCAGAGGGAAGCTGTTCTCTCAGTTGGACGCCACAGCAGGAAGAGGGACGATGAGACAATATGCCCAGGGCTGCCGGTCCCGCCACGGAGGCTGCTCATCACTGAGCTATCACCTAGTATGTGAGCTTCCTATCTCTATTAACTTTAATTCTGAGCACCTTCCAGACGCTTTAATGGGTTAACGAGTCTGCAGAGGGTTTCATCCTTTTCCTTCCTTTATTTTTTATCACAAACCACGAAGATTGTTGCTGTCATGTGTAGAGAAAGGTTACTAGCTTTTAATCAATTATAAGCCACATGAAGAGATAAAAGGTTTGTCTAACCTCATGGAAATGTTTTAAGAATGACACCCAAGCTTTTGTAGAAATGGATCTCACAAGTGCTTAACTTTTTTGCTAGAAGCAGAGGGTAGGCTCTGAGAAACCCTGAGATTCCAAACCCTGTTTAAATATACCACAGTGTAGGGGGTGACCCTCAAACTGATTCTGGTACAGAAGAGGGATTACGATAACCTAAGAACCCATGTTCTTAGTTGTTAGTAAACATGATAAACCTGTGGGAGTGAAACTGCAATCGTCAAGATACCACTTCTGCAATAACCGATTTAAAAATGAAGAAATAGCATGCTGAAGTATCTAAAAGTAAAATGTCAAGAACTCACCATTCACTTTTACTTTCAAATGGTGTATGTGAATGCTTTACAGGTCGATAGACATATAATGCAATATGATAAAATATTAACACTTGATCCATTCAGGGTAGAAAACATACCATTCTTTCAACATTTCTGTATGTTTAAAATCCTTACAGTCAACAGTTGGGAAAACACAGCCGAAAACACACCATTCAGAGAGCTAACAACATGATGACAAGGGTGTTCCCGTCATCAGAGAGACTCACGGCCACCACTGGACCAGTGTCACCTGAGAATCACCAGCTAAGTTGTCCTTTTTTTTCTACTTTCAGTGACACAACCCTTCTCCCAAAGAGACTCTATTTGAAATCCAATATATTAAAAAGACAAATACAAAGCCACCCGGGAAGAAGAGCACCAGCTACGACCAGCCTATCGTGTTCATGTCTATCACAGCCAACCAAGGTGATACACACTCCTGGTGCTTTATTGGCACTGTGGGCGATATTCAACATTTTATTAAAAGTTGCCTGAATGCTAAAATTTTAAAAATCAAATAACCTTCAGATTCCAGACATACTGGAGCCAGAAATGACCAAGATGTGGCCTACTCAGTCTGTTCCTTCTTCCTAAGGCTGAGGTGAACCAAGGACTCCACAGTGAATGATGCAGCACGAGCAGAGACCGCTGGTGCAGGAGCCCTGCCACAGTGACAAGCTTTCACGCATCCCTCCCACCATCACCACTGAGTCGCACATGTGGCTGGAGTCCCACCTGAGCCAACCCCTTGCTTTCAGACATAACCCGACGCTGAAGCCAGGCAAGGCAAGTCCTAGGACGGATGGCGTCATAGGCAGACCTCACCCTGCATACCCCACTGAGGACCCTAGGGGACTTCCCATGTATATGCATGGGCTCCTCAAAGTGCTCTGCTACCCATCCCACTTAACCTTTAACTAAGGAAGGAGCATAATCTAACTTAATTAAAAATCAATCCATAATTTATTTTTTACCTAAGCTGTGGGTAAAGAATAAGACCATAACACCTTGGGACAGGACTTCTTTTTTTTTTTTTTTTTTTTGAGTTGGGGTCTTACTCTGTCATCCAGGTGGAGTGCAGTGACACAATCACAGCTCACTGCAGCCTCAACCTCCTGGGCTCAGGAGATCCTTCCACCTTGGCCTCCTGAGTAGCTGGGACTACAGGCACCACCATGCCTGGCTAATTTTTTTTTCTTTTGTAGAGACGAGGTCTTGCTATGTTGCCTAGGCTGGTCTTGAACCCCTGGGTTCAAGCGATCCTCCTGCCTCAGCCTCCCAAAGTGTGGGATTACAGGCAGGAACCACCATACCTGCCCTGGGACAGAACTCTTGACCCAAATTTTAAAGGGCTGAGTTCTCAGTCACTTTAAGGTTTGGCAATGATGGACAGGCAGCTAGAGTAGTGGTACCGAGGACAGGGCAGCTCCCACTTTCCAAGCTCAGGAACGCATGTTAAGGTATCTTATCATGCTAAACTCTGCAGGGAACAGAAGTGTCATGGGACTCCTTTTGTTAATGAGCACTGCAGTGCGATACCAGTTAAGACATGAGTGTTCCTGGTCTAAAGGCTACTGAATGGTTTAAATTAAATTCACATGTAGCCCCAAATGGAGCAAAACTTAAACGCAGTATATATAATGAACAGATGCCTAAGCTTGTTTAAGAACAATGCATGCCTAAATCCAAAGTATGGTGAAAGAATGAAAGAATACCTTGAATTGCAGGGGGACAGATAATCAGAGTCTGCTGAAACGCGTCGCCACAGCCGAAATGAGCAGTCCCCGCCTGCAGAGGGATTCCATGGTGCACCACTGAGTGTGCAGACGTGGTCAGGGCCTGAAACAGTGAACACACGGCACATCACTGGGCAGCCTTCCACGACTGCATGCGCTGCATAGACGCATGCATAGACGCATGTCTACAATCCTGATTCCATAATGAAAACGGACCAGCAATGAGAACGGAAACAAGCTGACCAAAGTAAGTCAGAGAGGATCCTCTGAATTCTGCCTTTGGTAGGGCCGAGGCACACAAGGGCCACCGGCCGATACTAAGAGAAGGCGAGAGAGAGAGAAACATGAATCTGAATAGTTGTGTTGCAATTGTTGCCCTGACATGTGAAGAAATGTAGTAGAGTAGCCATAGTCAGTCATCACCACCACCATCTGTTCTAACTGCCAAGTTCACAAGTAAAATGGCAATCAAAACAGCGTGTGAGATTCAATGACAGCAAGTTCTTACCTGACTTCTTAATGTTCCGATTTTAGTAAAATTTGCCGTCAGAGCAGCAGTACCGCTCGAAGCAACTGGTCTTAGGAGTGAAGCTTTATTGTGATGATTTGCGTCACATGAATTTAGGTGGGACTTACAAACATCCATAATATGAAAACAGGACTTGACACTGCAAGAAAAAATTGAAGGTATCATAATATTATTTTAAATACTTACAGTCGTTTTAAGTTAATGTACATTAACAAGATAAAAAATTACTCTTAAAAAATCTATGATTTGCACTTAATTTGTTTATTTCCAATAGCATTTCTAACAGGAAATCCTACAAGAAAAGATTAAATTTCAAAGCAAGAAAAAGTATACATAATATCTATGATTTTAAGACACTAAAGCAATAGCAAGTATTATTTTGGTTAGCACACAATAATTTTACGACCCCCCTACCTGCAATAATTTTTCCTAAGTTTCCAGAGCTCCACACCACTAAATTAACGGCACCATGTATGTGGCTATCATGATATTTTCCAAGTGATTGCAGAAGGAAACCACTAGGACACTTTAAAGTATTTGAGGGGAAAATGTAATTGGGCTTCACCAAAACATCAATTTTAAAGACAATCCACAGTAAGAAATACAGTGCATTCCTATGCCTTCTTCATCGAGTCTCCTCAAAATATGAGAAAGCTGTTTTCAGTCACTTACTTTATTCCCTTCATCCCATAAAAAGGATTTGCAAGATTTGCCTAAGGAACTGATAAAGCCTTGGGAATTTGCATACATACTCTTCTCTACTGACCCATTAAAACCTCCCTTCCTTCCCAGTAGAGGAGGAGGAAGAGGAAAAAGGAAAGCAAAAGATGGGAAGAAAAATGTGAAATGGAGCTCGTAGGACTCAGGAAGAGGACGGTCTAAGGTCTATGAAAATGAAAATGAGGCTTGGAAGAGAAAACTGTAACCTTTCCTCTTATATATGCCTGGTAATAGAGGCAAGGGGGCCGCCACTCGTCTGATTTTTGGGACGGTGCTTTGGAGAGAGAACCCCAGACTGTTCAGGTGTGCATTCCAGTTCCACTCTGCCTCTCGTGGTTCTTGTGTAGGAATGTAGTCAAGCTAGCTTTACTTCTATTCAACTTATTTATATTTAATGAAGACGAATCATTCTAACACACAGATTCTATACAGACTTAGTATTCTTATTTTTCCAGAAGCACTTAAAGAGATTTTAAAGTAACGTACTGGTTGCTATGAGGAAAATCTAGAAGATGTTTCATGTTAACAAAAGGCTGGTTCAGCGTCTCGGCTGGAGTGATTCTTAGATCTGCATCAATCAGCAGCATTTTCTTCAAAAGACTAACAAATTCTCTCCTATCAGCTTTCTCAGCCAAAAGATCACTTCCTTCCAAATCCATCACTGTGTTCACCTAAGAAATCAAAATTTCAAGCCGTCAAATAACAACAATTCACAGAGAGCAGGCTAAGATTAAAGTTTTGTGGTGAAAAGTCACAACACAGGAAAGGACAGAGAACGACAATTATTTTAAATCAAAGAACAACTGAGATGAACAAATCCTCAAAATGTTCTGAGATACCAAATAGGATTCGAAGCAGGGGGAAAAGTTTTTAATTAAACAAACATCCATTTCTAATGAAATGTAGAAGGAAAACATGTTTGCTAGAACTTTTTCTTTTAAGGCAAATACGTTTTACTAAAGAACAGCACAAGGGAATTAAAAATTTGATAAAGACAAATACAATTTAGTTCCTGCAAGGCTGAAAACATAGAATCAATTTCGTTGAAAAAACTTAAGCACAGCAAGCACTTTGTAGCCACTGAGAAATGGAGTCCCATGCTGTGGCATCTTGGTGTTTGACCATCCAAGCACAGGAGAGCAACAATGTGATAATGGCACTCACATGCGCTATGTCATCCAGACTGTTGAAAATGTACTTCCTGGCTTCTTTAGACTTCATTCCAGTCTCTGCCTCATGCTCTTCCAATGTCTTATTGCATACACCAAAGAGAAAAAAGAATACATTACCCACCACACGGACATTTGTATTTCTTTAATCCTATCATGTTAAGTCTAATAACATTAGATATTCTAAGGCAAACAGTAGTTTCAGAGTATAACTACCAAAATGTATTTTTTTAATGTACACTAAAAAATGAGGCATGCTTGGGTCAGGCCAAGAAAAACATCAATATACAACAAGTCCCTTGAACAAAATAACTAATTACAAAGCTCACTACTGAGGATTTGCGTTTCCCTCAAAGCCCCAGCATGCTTGAGATAGGGAGTAAGAGGTGAGACTCAGTCCCTGTCCTATAAAGCTTCGTAATGTACAGCTGAAAAGGGCGATAGACACACAACACAAAGGTAGTTAAATATTATGAGTTCAAAGTCATGTAAAGTGTGTCTAAGTAAACTCAGACAAAGGGCAGGGCTAAATTATTCTGAGAGGGCTTGCCTCTTAAGGAAGGGAGGGTCAAAAGATCCAAAAGAAGGAAGACATGCAATGAAGACAGACGTGAAGGTATTATCCATGCCCAGGAGGCATCTCAGGAAACTGTTTTCTGAACGTGAAATGTTTAATGAATTACCTTTAATCTCCAGCCAGAACGAGACACATCTGCTTCCTTGCAAAAAAATCTTGTAGATTTTGTGCCCACGTTTAGCAACTGCTCTCCTGGCAAACCTTGAGTCTGAGAAATGTAGCGAATCTGAAAAATAATTGACAAAACAGAACAGTTCATTCTTCCATGTGCTGAACACTCAGATCAGACTCTAGGCTAATGTCAGGTCAAGAGTGAAGAGCGATGCATGCCCTGAGAGTCGTCGTCCAGGGGAGCAAACAGCTGCGCCCCCAGAGATTCTGCTCCGTCAACTAACCGGTCCCCTCCTGCAAATTCCATTTCTCCCCTCTTGGAGCTCTCTTCCCACAGACACAACACCACTCCGGATCCTTCATCCGCCAAGTAAGACCAAGCCACGCCTCCCAGAGCTAAGCCCCCCACTCCCCAGACTACTCTCCACCTCCCACCCCGCCCCCTCCCCCCAATCTCTATGACAAGCCTCCACTCCTCCTTCCTCAAGACCCAGTTTCAGAAGCTTCTCCTCGATGAAGCCATGCCGTCACACCTAGGACACGCCATCTTCATGCAATTCCTTATTGAATGTTCTCCCTACTAAGCTGTGAGCCTCTTGACAAAACTAGGTTTTATCCACACGCGCATTCTCCGTCACTGCAAACCTCCTTCATTTCATTAAAGTGCTGCCCTTTGCCCCTGCCCCATCCCTAAGTAGCCAAATTTTTTATTTTAAGGGAAAAAAAGTAGAAGGAAAAAGTCTTACAAGCCCAGCACCTAAACCCAGCATCAAAGAGAAAGCCATCAGTGACTCAGTTTCAGTAACACACACAGAGCATCGAGCGTGCTGGATGCCAAAGACATGCCGACGAGTCTTCAAGGACAGGCAAACATCGCAGTGTGCGATGTGCAGCTAAGTCAGCCCATGCCACACAGAGGAAGAAGTCGCCACAGGAAAAGCGTGGCTCTGAGGGCGGGGATGGCACTGATGTGCAGAGCAAGGCAGCCATGAAGCTGGCCCTGCCGCCAGCCAGGCTCTGCAAGAGAAAGCTCCACGTGCAGCCCCCAGTGTGGGAACACATTTGCCCTCTCCACCCCTGATGAAGAATGGAGGCCTGGCTCAAGGCGGCAACTCATCAACAGGTTCAAGGCGGCAACTCATCAACAGGCCTTGGGGCTCCACTGGAAAGAAGCTAAGCGATAAGACTGGCCAGGAAGCTTGAACTAAGAAATACCAGTGCCTGTGGGGGACAAGAGGAAGGTTCTGGGAGAGCTGGAGTGTGACGCCATGTCACCCAGTCAAAGGGAGGGTGGCAGGACGCATCTGGAGTGGGCAGAGACAGCCGGAGGGCACCCGGGTGGCCCATCACAGTGAGGCCGGCCAGCTGGTTCACTCCCGCACTGCTGCCCTGATTCCCAAAGCTGCATCTCCAGACACCACGACACCCAGGCAGGTCACAGCTCCATTCCTGGAGTCTTACAACAGTTCACACACATAAATAAATTTCCCCTTCCAACGAGCCAGCCTGAAATGGTCTCTGCAATCCAAACAACCTGACAGAAATAGAAATCTTCAAAGATTTTTTTCCTCTGGAGTTAAATTTTTTTTTTTTAATGTAAGACTTGAAATTACCAAATATAATGTGATTATACAGTCAAATTTTTAGCTGTCCTGGGTAAAACTCTATCTAAACTCCAACAAACATTTTAGAGGAATAATCAACACTTAAGTAAAGACTGTCCATCCATTCATAAAAAGAATACTTTTGATGATTCTCTGGTAAATATAAGTTTTATAAACAGAACACTAATAAGACCATTTATCTACAACCAAGACAGGAAGGGTGGCCAAGCACAGTATCAATTGCAATGAGGCCCTCTCTAAACACACATGCTAAGTATACATGTGTAGAAACGATGACTTTTCAGTGTGGCCGGTGCCTGGTCATAGAGTCTAGACTTCAGGGAGGAAGCTGTGCCGGAAAGGCTCTAAGAGATTCCCGTGATTCACAGACCAGAACACCAACCCCGTAACGAAGAGTTAAAATCATCTGAACCTGATGTCAGTACTGTACTTACCGGCCCCTTTGTGATGACGTGGAGCAGACCACTGCCCAACCACCTTAACGACCTTCCCCCACCAAAGGGAAGGGTTGAAAGGATTCAACCATGAGCAGCCAGTTGCCATTTCCTTACTAAACTCTGGTGTGGCCATGTGCTCTTTGAGCTGTGGCCGCCTAACCTCTGGTCCCCTCTCCTACCTTGGAGATATGAATCCATTCTCTCTCTCTCTCTCTCTCTCAACTCTCTCTCTCTAATTTACTTTCCAAATAAACTATATTTTTCAATCTAAAAAAAAAATAAGGCCGGGCTCGGTGGTTCAGCCTGTAATCCCAGCACTTTGGGAGGCTGAGACAAGTAGAGTTCCTGAGCCCGTGAGTTCGAGACCCACCTGGGCAACTTGGCGAGCCCTCGCCTCTACAGCAAATAAAAAATTAGCCAGGCATGGTAGCACGCGCCTGTAGTTCCAGCTACTTGGAAGACAGAGGTGGAAGGATCGCCGGAGTCCAGCAGGTCGAGGCTGCGGTGGCCAGGAGTGCGCCACTGCACTCCAGCCTGGGCGACAAAGTGAGACTTCAACTCAAAAAAATAAAAAATAATTTGAATATTTTTCCTGGTGACTCAAATCTGGCTTTTAAAGATGCAATAATTCTAGTTCTACTGTTAAGAACTCTTTTTTACCTGCTTTGTAGACAGAAAAAAAGTCTACACTGTACTAGAAGGTTAGATACACATTAGACACAAGACATATCAACAAGCACTAGGAAAGACTTCTACGAAGGCTCTACCTTGGTCAGTGTTCCCTGTGCATGGGAAAGCAGCTCTTGCTGTGGTGCTGGGTGTTGGAGCCGTGGTGCGTCATTAGGTCAATTTAGTTAATCATGTGTCCAAATCTTCTCTACTCTTACCGATTTTGTTCTCTTTTCTACCAATTTCTAAAAGAAATATGCCAAAATCCCTAAGTGTGACTGTGGGTTTGCCTATTTATTTCTCCTTTTGGTTTTGTCAATTTTAGATCTGCATTATTTTGAAGCTACTTCTAGAGGAATAAAACACTGAATTGTGTTTGTGTGAAATCGAAGTTTTCAGGTGAGCTGAGCTTTCCCCCTTTATAAATGACATCGATAATACTCCTGTTGTTAGAGGCAATCTTGCTAATAAAAGGAAAACAGAAAGGATTTTATACAACATAAGCTCTGAGAGGGAAGAATCTGTGCAAGATGTTTTCAAAGGACACAACGAAAAAATGAGCACAGGCTGCGAGCTTCTCCGAGAACCCAGGCCTGGGAACAAGACACCAGTGGAATTAGAGGTCGGGGTGGGCTGCCCCAGAACCCAGGCCTGGGGACAGGACACCAGTGGGATTAGCGATCAGGGCGGGTCCCCCCAGAACACAAGCCTGGGGGCAGGACACCAGTGGGGCTAAAGGTCGTGGCGGGCTCCCCTTGAACCCGAGCCTGGAGAACCCATGCCTGGAGACAGAATACCAGGGGGTTAGAGGCTGGGGCAGCCTCCTCCCCAGAACACAAGCCTTGGGATAGAAAACCAGGGGGCTAGAGGTCAGGGCAGGCTCCCTCAGGACCCAGGCCTGGGGATAGAACACCAGTGGGGTTAGAAGTCAGGGTGGGCTCCCCCAGAACCCAGGCCTAGGGACAGACACCAGTGGGTTAGAGGCCGGGCAGCAAGAGGACTGACCCCACAGCCGCGGACACCCTCTCCCAGTGGTGGAGCAGCGGCTGTAGGCAGGAGTGGAGGTCAGAAGAGGGCCCATGCCGGAGATCGGGGACAGGCTGGCACGGGTTCTGGGGTCCTGTGACCTCCCTTCCCACACTGCCTTGCAACCACCAACATCCCCGCAGTGCAGAGGGCCACGCACCTGCTTCTGACTCACACTGCCTGTGTGCACTCTTGGGCAAGTAGCTCAACTCCCCCACACCCTGGTTTCCTCACATGTAAAATGGTGGCAACAGTGGTGACTCTCAGGGCTGCTGTGAGCTTTCCGTGGGTGAGCAAACATGAGGCGTCAAGGCAGCTCCCAACACAGCCAAGCACTCAGGAGATATTAATTACAGAAGGCCACAACTGCCCACTACACACCTGCTGCCAGGCAAAATAAGCAATTCTCAAAGCATCACCCCAATCAGGGTGTCCAGGTGCATCCTGGCAGCTGGTGTAATACGGAACAGCCAGAGAAAGTCACGCCCCGCCTTGGGTGACCACACTCTCAGGAGATAAGGAGAGCCTAGGAAAATCAAACACATTAATAGACTACAGTTTTTTTTTTTAAGTATGTGAATGTTTTATATTATTTTTTGAGTTGGGATCCCACTCTGTCTCCCAGGCTGGAGTGCAATGGCACAATCATGGCTCACCATAGCCTCGACCTCCTGGACTCAAACAATCCTTCTGCCTCAGTCTCCCGAATAACTGGGACTATATACGCACATCACTATACTCAGCTACTTTTTTGATTTTTTGTAGAGACAGTGTCTCGCTATATTGCCCAGGCTGATCTCGAACTCCTAGACTCCAGCAATCTTCTTGCCTTGGCCTCCCAAAGTGCTGTGATTACAGGCATGAGCCACCAAGCCCAGCCCCAAATATGAATATTTTAATGGATGCAAAAAAGCATTTTAAAGTCCCAAACCAAGCTAGGATTAAAAAAAAAAAAAAATCAACTTGGAAAATTAGGACTAGAGGGAACTCCCCTATCTTAAAAATAGACATGTTTCACAGCCTGTACAGCAAATGTCATCCTTGAAAATGAGTGTGAGGTCACTTTAAGACTAGGGCCAAAACAACGGTGTCCACTCCATCACTCTGATTCACTCATTTATTTATTTTGTAAAATAACCATTTTAAAACACAAAATGGATGACTGTGCAACTACTGATGCTATATGCTAACGACTTTTTAAAATCCCTTTGCAATTAAAGTAATAAATACTCTGAAAATATTGTTCACCTGGATCAGATAAAACCTGTTCCAAGCACCTTTTTAAGCCATATATTACAGAATTTAGAAAAACTGGGTTTTGATCAGGGCTCCGTCTTTAAAATTCCCACTGTGACCTTCACAAGTCAACTCATTTTTCTGGGCCTCAGTTTTCTCCTTTACAAAATGGGGGGGGGCATAACTAGAGGATCTCTGGGGTCCTTGTCAAGACCAACTTCAATTGTCCAAGATTCGCAATTAACAACAAGTCTATCAGAAACTACCGCTGGGCGGTACCCCACTCCAGGGGACAAAAGTGCCATAAACTGTCATCCACAACGCAAAGGCGTAGTTGTAGCATCTGACTGGTGCCTCAGAGCTTCAGCAGCTGAGGGATTATGGGAATCTCTGATGAGACCTCCAACTCTTTCAGAGCTAGGCAGAGTCAAGCGTCTGCATCAGAGTTGGGTAAAAAAGCTGAAGGAAGCCAAGATGCATGGAAGATTTTACAGAAAATGTCGTTAAAGAGGTTTCCTGAATATGGAGGAGGGAAGGCAGAGAAAACAGAAAACTTGACCTAAAAGAGAAGGTTCATGGGTAGAAAGTCACTGGAAGATGATAAAAGAGTAAAGTCAATAGCACAGAATCTAATAATTAATAGTAAATGACGGTAGATTTATTTCAGGAATATTTAAGTCACCCAAATCAATTACCTCCCTTACTCCTTTTCATAAAGAAAACAACCCTGAAAAAATCAGAATAAAGATTCAAAGTATATGATTCTGTGATGTGCACTTTAAGATGTTCTATTTTTTCTTTCTTAAAAGTTAAATAGACTGGGCATGATGGCTCATGCCTATAATCGCTATTCCTAGTGCAAATTCCTAGTACTTTGGAAGGCCTGGGTGAAAGGATTGCCTGAGCCCACGGGTTCAAGACCAGCCTGGGCAACTTGGCAAGATCTCATCTCTACAATAAATCAAAAATTTAGCCGGGTATGGTGACATATGCCTGTAGTTCCAACTACTTGGAAGGCTGAGATGGAAGGATCACCTGAACCCAGCATGTCGAAGCTGCAGTGGCCGTGAGCATGCCACTGCACTCTAGCCTTGGCGGCAGAGACTCCAACTCAAAAAAAAAAGTTAAATGATATATCATCTAAATAAAAATTTACATTTATCCACTAAAAGCCAATTACAGAATGGCAAAATTAATGCAACTACTTTGTTGATTTTGGCTAAGATTTTCTGTCAAAATATGAAGTCAGTGTATACTACACATCTCTAAAAGGGAGCTACAACGAGAACCATGAATAAGATGACGATTTCTACAAAATAATTATCTTGGTATTAAAAGTCAATTCACCAGCACATGACACTGCCAAAGAGGTTGGACAACAGGATGAACACATCTGGACTACCACGGAAAGCAAGTTTCACAAGGTCGTTTGATGGATCCTCCTGAGAATAATTAAGTGGTGCCAAAAGAGGCTGTCAACACCATTCACAAACAGCTGGAAAGACACAAGAGAGTTCAAGGGACAGAGACACTTTACACCACTCACGGTTGTCGGTTCAAGACCAACAGTTGTGCCTTTTAGGAACTTTTTTCCTTGGGAGGGGCCAGCATCTTGTGTATCATCAAAGCTTGTCACCCAAGCAAAGCAGAATTAATTATGTAGATTCAGACCAGCCCTTTATATGTGAAAAATGGGACATGAAACATTCTCCCATGTTTACAAAACTGGTTTTGTGAGAGTCTATGGATTGCAACTTGCTTGTGAAAACTTACTTCAGCATTACAAAAGTGTTTTAAAAACCAAGTACTAACTCTGAGATCTTGAGCCTAAATTCCATAAGATCCCAGGTTTTGCCACATTTTGTTAGAGTTCCACATGGACTGCATACCTGGGGCCTTGTGCTCCTGCACATCTGTTATTACTCTTTCCTTGCCACCATTTCTACTAGATTACCATGCCAGTTCTGTTACCTGATCATACTCCAGGGCTCCTGGGTACAGCGGCCATCCAAGGAACAGTTCTGCAATCACACACCCCAAGGACCACATGTCTATGGCTTCACAAAACGGCAGCCCCAATATGATCTCTGGAGCTCTGAAATTTAAAAAAAAAAAAATCAGGGTGACTTTCTTTTAAAGTTACCTAATTTCACCTGTGATTCCAAAAAAACCTAGTAAAATGACAGAGGCATCGCCCTCAATGTACAGTAACTCTTACCTATTTCAGAACTCCTGAAACCTAGCCACAACCCTGAATTAACACGAATAGGGCACTATGAGTATAAAAGCGATGTGGTGAAGTCTCTTCATCATAATCCCTTTTTCTTATAGAGAGTTTAACTAACATAACATTTTTGAAAAGGAAAAAACATAAATCTTGCTTTTGAGACTATAGATTAGAAATAACACTAGAAAGAAAACAGGCTAACCATTAAGTACGTGAACTCTGACATCAACAGAACTGAAGACCAGACATCAGTGACAGTACTCAAACTAAACAAAAATCCCCAAAACTAGGCTGAATCTAAACCTAGATATTACCTCAGAATACAATAGTAAGTACGGACATAATTAGAGTCATTGGTCATTAAAAGAAACAAAGCCAAGTTCAATGTATTCTGCTTCAAAGGGTAGAAAAGCATGGGGTGCAGCAAAATATGTGACAAGCACCTTCGCACTTGCGAGGGGACTTGGTTATTAGGAAACATGCTCCATGAAACCTACCATTTCCAGATACACCATGTTGCTACTTCACAGGGCTTTCCGGTGGAAAGATTCTTGACCTAAGAGACCTTCCACGGACAGCTGTGTCCATCCAAAGGATGTCATTCACATCACAGTCATCCTGTATGTGTGCGTGTGTTTAATTTTAAAACCATCTGGATCTTGCAGAAGAGTTTCAAGAACAATACAATAAATATCTTTTAGCCTAGATGACTTGAGAATACTTTGCCAAATCACTGTATACTTTGCATTTCCTACAAAGAGTATTCTCCTACATAAACACAACGCAGCCATCCAAATCAGGAAACGGACAGAGTGCAGCGCCACCATCTGAGCTCAGCCTCTGCTCTGGCTTGGCCTGCTGTACCCATCACGTCCTTTTTTTTTGGCAAAAGGACCCAGCTCAGAATCATGCACTTCATCAGCTGTCACACCCTGAGTCTTTTTCAACATGAACGGTCCCTCAGTCTTGCCTTGCCTTCCAAGACCTTTGCAGAAGATATTCCAGGACAGTTATTTGTGGAAGCGTCCCTCGGGGTAGGTTTGTCTGAGGTTTCCTCATAATTGGATTCAGGTTATAAATCTTTCAAGAGAAATCACAGAAGTGATGCTGTTTTCTTTCTGCATCTTATCAGGTGGCACAAAATCGTGATGTTCCCTTACTAATAATCTTCACTTTGATCACCTGATTAACACAGCATCTGCCAGACTTCTCCACCACTAACTTCCTCTTTGCCCTTTATAATGAAGTGTCGTGTGGGATTCTGACCTGACACTATATAAATAGTCTACTCTGTATCGAATTTCCACATACTCTCTGATTTACCTGCAGGAGTGAAGCCCCACAGTTCCAGTTTTGGTCAGTTGGTGATGGTCCCTTACTATAATAATAGACTTTGACTCTCAAAAGCTTTCAGATGCAGCACTCAGGGTGCCCCATCCTTTCTGTTCTTTTGTACGACCTCAGCCTCCTTCGATTCTTTCTTTGCTTTCCGATGCAGCAGGATAGCCCAGGCTCCTCTTCTTTCCTGCTCCAGCCCTAGAAGCAGATACTTCTCCAAGGACCCCTAGCTTCCCTCAGAGCATGATGGGACCTTGAAAACAAGGCTCAGGGAGCTATGGGTCCCGGTACTAGGAGAGAGGTTCCTAGGCCCTATCGGTGCACACACCATCCACAGTGAGACAGAATAAGCCTTCTGCTACTTTCCAAGTGGAGACTGCTGGTGGTCATTCTCTCCTAGGGCAGTGGTTCTTAACATTGGCGCCTCTACAATCCCTTGGTCCTGGTCACACCATACACCAACTGAATCAGAAACCCTGGGGATAGGACTTAGGAATCAGTATTTTTCAAAGCTCCCAGAGCGGTTTTAACATATAGCCAAAGTTGAGAGCCAAAGTCCCAGACTCCAGAAGTCAGACCACTAGAAAGACCATCCTAATACCTCCCTACAGCTCTTTTGACAGAACAAATTCAAAGGATAACGAACAAGCTGATCTGTCCAGTGAATCCTGTACCCCTGGCTGACTCTTAATACTTAAGACTCAGCAGACCCTTCATCAAGCCATAAGCATTTGCTGAAAGCAAGAGCCATGGGAAATGCGATGAAGTATAAAAGTTATTTAAGGCCGGGCTCGGTGGCCCAGCCTGTAATCCCAGCACTTTGGGAGGCTGAGATGAGAGGACTGTCTGAGCCCGCGGGTTCAAGGACAGCCTAGGCAACTTGGCGAGACCTCATCTCTACAATAAATCCAAAAATTAGCCAGGTGTGATAGTGCGCGCCTGGAGTTCTGGCTACTCAGAATGCTGAGGCAGAAGGATCGCCGGAGGCCAGCAGGTCAACACTGGGGTGGCCATGAGTGTGCCACGGTACTCCAGCCTGGGTAACGGAATGAGGCTCCAACTCAAAAAAAAAAAAAAAAAAAATGTCAGGCGCAGTGGCTCATGCCTATAATCCCAGTACTTTGGGAGGCAGAGGCAAGAAGATTACCTGAGCCCACGCGTTCAAATATTAACTAGGTGTGGTGGCACGTGCCTATAGTTCTGGCTACTTGGAAGGCTAAGGAGAAAGGACTGCCTGAGCCCAGCAGGTCGACACTGGGGTGGCCATGAATGTGCCACTGCACTCCAGCCTGGGCAACGGAGTAAGACTCCAACTCAAAAAAATAAAAATAAAAATAAAAATAAATAAGCATAGTTGCAAGAGGCTTTCATCCTTTTGACAAAATAGTCAAGTGTCTGCATGGATGTAGACACATGTATTCCGACTCAACTGGGTGCCAGAATGTGTGGTGGAAAGAGAGAAGGAAAGAAGTCCCAAGACCGTACAGAGCAGGCTAGGGAAAAGAGAGCTCTTCCTCCTTTTTGCTCACTATTGTGCACCCAGACCCTACCAAAGAATATGCTCAGGGAACATTTCTCAACTAAATCACTCCAACACAGGCCGGGTCACACAGTGGAAGGCATCAGAGTGAAGTTGGGTTCTGGCGAGGACTTGAAGCACAGGAGTCTAGGCAAGAAGAAAGCCAACCGGGCACAGCACTGATTCAACACATATTTTATGCTACACTGAAAAGATTCAAAGCACGAAGGCAGCTTTGAAAGCGTGGCATTAAAAAGGGATTGTCGCTGATGTTTAATCACGTACTAATCTGAACGTGAAGAAAAGTTATTAAGACGAACAGGGCTACTGCTGTGTGCATGAAAGCTTTTATCTGTATTCCAAAATATTTAATATGAAAACGTCTTCATAGGATTTGAAATTTGTGAGTGCAGACATTTTCGGTATTGCACTTGACGGTGAAAGAAGAGTGACAGAATGACAGCAGCTGAGACTCACAACTTAAAGAGACTCAAATTACTAGAACTCTGCTCACAGTGAGAAGGCGGTTTCTCTCCATCAGACACAGTGCGGGACCGTGCCTGCCATGTGCGCCCATTTAGTGAACCAGTCATGCTTCTGACTGATGGCAACAAGAACACAGGGACATGGTTACAAAATCTTGATCAGAATTGCATATGGCCACTTCAAACATAAAAACCAAGATACAAAAGTTACAGTCACAGAAGCAAACTCAAGTTTTCCATTTTAAAATACACAAGAGTGTTAACTGCAAGTTTTGTACAAGTTCATGATCCATTATGATGTCAGTTCAGATCCTCTAAGAGTTAATTAGACGAGCTGGGAATCTGTCAGGGGACATACCTGTGTGGACTCAGGAAGAGGATGCAGGAGTGGGCGGGGGCCCCACCTTGGGAAGCTCTGACACCCGTGGAAAAAGAGAGTCTGAGGGGCCTCGGACAGGAAGTGCAGTTAGGAGTCTTGGTCAGCCAGTGTGGCCTCCCTCGGCAAAAGGGCCGGTGTTGGCAGCCTCCCACCAAGCAAGCGCAGCGCGCTCAAGTCCTGCTGGGTCTGGGCCCTGGCAGCAAGAAAGCGGAGGGCACATGGCCTCGACCTGAGATGCGTGGCCAGTTGGAGGCTGGCAGGCAGTTGCTCCATGCACACAGCAGCTGCTCCAGAAGGGGCACGGGTCTGAGGAAAACAGGTCCATGCTGTGCAACTGGCAACACATGGACCATGTTTCCATACTGAGTCCTGCACAGATGTGACAGATTCTCCCAGTGAGCCCTGGCATGCCACACATTTATCATGTCTATTGTCACGAGTAAGAAGTCGGGAAGCAACACTTGAACACAGAGCTCTACAACGGTCCTTCAGCATAGCAGGTTGCAAACTTACAGGCAGCGATGCACTGAGAAATGGACACGGCACGCGGCAGATGTGGAGAAGGTTTAGCAGGTGGGCTTCATCTCAGCCAGCTCGCCACTTCCTCCTCTGACCATTCTTTAAACAGATCTTTTGTTCTGTCCCAACAGAAAGTTCTCCACTTTCCCTTCTGCCTGAACTCCCTTCTGAGCACCCACAGGGGCAACGCTGTGAACAGAGCAGGGAACAGCCATCTTGTGCTCATTTGCAGGACAGTTGAGGCCCACAGTGAACATGCCGGCTACAGAGAGCACAACCGGAACTGCTGTTTCCACCCACAAGCAGCAGCTGGCCATCAGAAGGCAGGCAAAGCCAGCAAGCCAAGGTGCAGGCACAGGCAACGAGGCCAGTCTGAAAGGCTGCTTCTTTTCCTTCTCCCTTTTTGCCATGTATTTTTAATTCAATTTTCAATACTCATTAAGAGCAAATCCTGGCTGGGTATGGTGGCTCAAACCTGTAATCCAGCACTTTAGGAGACTGAGGTGAAGGCATTGCCTGAGCCCACAAGTCCAAGAACTGCCTGGGCAATTTGTGAGACCTCATCTCCACAATAAATCAAAAAATTAGCTGGCTAAGGTAGCGCATGCCTGTAGTTCCAGCTACTTGG